AAAATTTTAATCAATAAAGCTTTAAAGTTGCATTTGAAAGTTGAAAATTTTAAAAGCTTTTTTAAAAGATAAAATATTATGTATATTTAATTAATTAATTTTTTAAATTAATTTTCAAGCATTTTTGACTGAAATGATGCAAATATATATATATATATATATTATAATGATTTTTTTTAAAATACATATTTTGAAAAGTTAAATCTCTTCTAAAGAAGGCCTAAATAAATATAATAATAAATAAATATAAGTCTGTCTATCAAAGTGATAACTTAACAAGAAATACATTATTGCAATTTAGAATTTTATCTATCAATTAAACATTTTTAAATCCAGAAGTCTTAGTTTAGCATAGCTAAAAACATTTTAAAAATACCTGCAAATTTATATTATTTTTGGATAAAAAACTAAAAAAAACTAATAGATTTCTTGGGTAGGTTGAAAGTTCCATAAACATTTTAAAAACATAAAAAATAATATATATATTTTTTTAAACAACAAATCTACGTTAATAATGCTTTAAAGCTATCTAGTGAGCGCCAAGTATTGCTGTAGATTATGAAGTAAATGGGATCAAGCTGTTATTATATTATCCCTAAAAAAATATAACGTACAATATTTAATTACTTGTTTAATAATGCTCATTAAAAACTGAATATATATGTATGTCTATTTGCATCAAATAAATCCCCAGTATATATTTCGACATCTGCATCTACTTGCTGCGCGGTATCTCTTAGTCAAGCATTGCCAAAGTAAACTGTCTCCCTTTCTCTTTTTGTTTGACCTCTCTTCATTCCAATTTGCTGACTTGCAAAACTATATAAAATCTGTGCTAAATTACACACATGAAGCCCTACAATTAGTTTAATTGGAAAGGTTTCAGATTCTCCACTCTTTCAATTGTCTACCGCTGCTATGCTCGACTTTTGCAGGAAGTGCTGCGTCGCGATTGGATGTTCAAGTTGGTGGGCGAGGATACGTTCGACATCGATCAGGCCCGCTGCATTATACGGGTCGATCCAGCGCCAGGCTTCAAGTACGAGTATTCACTGTACATTGACGGCAAACCGCATGCCCAGTACACCGAGGAGCTGACACGTCAGTATCGCCTGTGGCTCTGCACCTGTGGCAGCGGCAGCGGCAGCGGTCAGGCCGGGTCAACGGATGCGTCGCAGGAATACCGCATTATGCTCAAGCTGGACACGCTGAGTTTGTATGTGAACGATGAGCTGCGCGAGGAGGCGGTAAGTGAACCGGATGCAGGCCGAAAAACGAGGCTGACTATCAATCACGTTCACCCCGCTTTGCAGGCCGTCTTTGTGGAGGGTGGCACCGACACCAGCTTCGTGCTGCAGGACACACCATTTGTATTGCAGGCACGCTCCAGCGGCAACAAGCACGACGGCATCGTTCACACACTCCTCGTTAACGGGGTGCCCGTGCCGGAAGCAAAGATACAGCAAATCATGCAGGAACCCGTCTCCATACTGCAAACGAATTGAAGTCTCCTAGTCAACAGAAACCAGACGAAAAAAGGGATCACAATTCGCATTTGTTCATATATCCTGCGGCCTATCCATATGCGTGTGAATTGCAAATGTTTTATATCGCCCAACCCCTCCCTCCCACACCCTCAACATAATGAACTTGAAAGTGTTAAAAGTTTTACTTACACAATAATTTATTCGTTCGTTTATATGCATAATTGTAACGCAAATCGCAAATCGTTTACGTTCTCAATTTCATTTGACATTTTGCTAGCATTCAAAGTACTCAAAGTGCATTTAGTATAAAAATGAGAAAACAGGATACAAATAAAAACAGATGAATAAATAAATGTATCAAAAAACAGCGTGTGGCAATAGGCATACAAATATTACTAAAGTCAAAAAATATATATA